TCTAACCAATAATCCTCGCGTACCCCTCAATACAGACCTAGACGATAAGAAATTTCCGGAGTAATATCTCTCTTTTCTGCAACTATTTCTTTAACAATGTTTTCCTCCACTTTAATACTTTGGGCTAATTGTTGCGGAGTAATCTGATAAGTTTTTAATAATTCCTCTCGCAATATCTCGCCAGGGTGAATGGGATGTAAATCTTTATCTTTTGCCATAATAACTTATTTTACTTACCATACTTTTTACTATGAGGGTCAATTCATATATCATAAGTTTGTTTTTTCTCTTTGTCTCAATAAAATAATAATCGCCATTTACCACCTAAACGAATGCTATGTTGACCTTTATCGCCAATTTTCTCTAATCGGCCACCACTGGCCCCATAAGGAAAATACATGGTGATTTCTTTTCAACTTTTAGCCTGGTAAATTAAGACTACTTTCCGGCGGGCTTCTTGCTTATCGCTGCGGCTTAATTCTTGGAATTTGAGAACTCTTTCACCATGATAAAAGTTTTCAGTGTCTTTATCCCTAAATCGTGGATCTTTAGGTTTAGTCATTAATTGTTGTTATATAATTGTTTATATATTCTCGTGCCTTTACCATAATGAATAATTTTAGCAAAAATTATCACACATCTATAAAAAGCCAACAATATTTTACTCTACCAAAGGAGTATCTTTTTTTCACTCGCTAAATAATTTTTCCAATTCATCGTTTGCTCTTGAATCTCCAAGACGAAAACTTGTTAGTTGTAAAAAATTCTTGTTTTCTTCATATTCTTCAAGTTTCTTTATTTTTTTAGTATAATTTTCCTTCCAACTAGTATTAGCATATTCTTTAAGAGGGATATTCAAGGTTTTTTCCAACATTATCATCAAATAGGCAATGGTAGTCCAAGAAATACTTGTTATTATCGGATACTCACCCCTCTTCTCCTCCTTAATATTTCCCTTACCTGGACCACCTGCTTCTCGGTCCACAATATTTTTTTCTAATCAGTTATAAAAACTTTGTCAGTTTCTAATCATCATCTCAGTAAGTTGTGATTCTTCTATTTCTCTTTTCTCCGGGGTCTCCCCGGATCGTTTCTCTCTCTCTCTCTCTGCTTTTACCTCTTTCACCATTTCTCTTAAATGAGTACTACTAGTTGGGAAAATATTAACAATTTTGTCTAACCATCATTTTTCTTTTGCTAATTCTTGGGCTAATTGTTCCTTGGTTTTTGTGGCTAAATCTAATTGGATTTGTAAATCATCCTTTTTTTGGGTTAAGTCTTTGATAGTTTGCTGATTTCCTTTAACTTCTAATTCTTTGTCGGCTAAATCAATTAATCTTTTTTT